GCAAACTCGGCGTAATGTGGACTGGAAAGGTGCCGAGTTTATGAAATGCCGGGTTATCGGGAACTAGGGTTAAAAATAAGAACAATACAACTTTTATTCCTTTTAGCTGCCTTATTTATTTACATTTATTTTACAAGTAGGTATTAAGTCATCAGATATGGTACAACAAATCCTTGGTACGAGTTGCAAATGCCTTGACTTGAGCCCATGTTTAACTCGGACTCAAAAAATCACTAATTTTCTGAGCCAAGTGATGGCCGAGTTATCCAGACTGCCGGGTTATCGAGTGCCGAGTTTGCGGGACTCTACTGTAGTATATTTTCACTTCCACCTAAAACTCAAACTCGAAAATGTTGACAAAAACAATACTTTCTCCATGTGTAAAGGAGGAAAAAGTAAAGACTATGTAAATATAGTAAATGAGTGATTTGAGATAACGCCATTCTTTTGCCAGGTTAGCCCTAGTCTGTTTAGCCACTAGTGATTGTCATTGAGTTATGGATGGTTGACTATCAATCAATTCAGACAATCTAATACTGCTGAGCTCCAACGACTCGGGAGATTGATTGATTATATCATACAATGCCTATATTGGCTGGTCATAATCAAGAATTGGAATTCTTTTGAAATCCCTTGTGCTTGATTTCAAAAGTACCTGCAGCATTTACAATTTACTATCCTTGTGATTGTATGGATTAAAAATAATGCCAATAGTGCATAGTGATAAAATGTATGTGATAAACACATAATGTAGATCAAAGAGAAGAAACCCCTTCTACTAAAAGAAACTTTGGGGACTAAACCAATTGTGATAAGCATAGAGAGATGAAAAACATAATTTTGTGTTAAAATTAATTTAAAATTTTCTTCTGACTAGTGCGCGCATTCTTCTGACTCAGATGAGGTAGCGCATCACTGATCACTGAATAATGTGTTAAAATGATTATAATGCCCAGTATGGATGTACCAAATTTTGAAGCACAGCAAACCTATAACTTGTGAAACTTATGTAGGTAGTTTAATTATAAAAAATATGCCTTTTTTAAGTACATATTTTCGTAAAAATCCAACCAGGTAAATGAAAATTTGCTCAGTCCGAAGGTTTGCTGCAGCAGGGGTAGGCATATTCTATTAGTTTTATGTTTTTCATACCTTCCCTGCAGCAGCAAACCTATAACTTGTGAGACTTATGTAGTTTAAATATAAAAAGGCCTTTTTTAAGTAAATATTTTCGTAAAAATCCATCCAGGTAAATGAAAATTTGCTCGGTCCGGAGGATTGCTGCAGCAGGGGTATTCTATTCGTTTTCTCATTATTTTTGAATAATTTGCTGCAAAATTATGTTTTTCATCTCTCTGTACTTATCACAATTGGTATAGTCCCCAAAGTTTCTTTTAGTAGAAGGTTTTTCTTCTCTTTGATCTGCATTATGTGTTTATCACATACCTTTTATCACTATATGCACTATTAGCATTATTTTTAATCCATACAATCACAAGGATAGTAAATTGTAAATGCTGCAGGTACTTTTGAAATCAAGCACAAGGGATTTCAAAAGAATTCCAATTCTTGATTATGACCAGCCAATATAGGCATTGTATGATATAATCAATCAATCTCCCGAGTCGTTGGAGCTCAGCAGTATTAGATTGTCTGAATTGATTGATAGTCAACCATCCATAACTCAATGACAATCACTATAGTGGAATAGATTACAGAATAGGACTGGCCTTTGAAGAGGTAGGGGATGCGACGTTGCCACTTCGTTCATGGCCGGTGAGCTGACTTTCACCTAGAGCCCGGCACCCCCCTCTATCTTCCTACTTGTAGGGTAGCTCAGTTTAACACTACAAATTAATAATTTATTTGTTCTTGGTGGTATTTGTTTAGTATTGTTATATTTTTATATCCTATGGAACACAAAATTCATCCCATACATTATTATGGGACTGATTATTTGCTACACAATTGTCTTTAAAATGGCTCAAAACGCTACCAAATGCAGTTTTTAAAAAATATCTAGACATAAAATTAATAAATTAAACAGTAAATTTATATGAAAAAAACAATTTGTATAGCAGTTCTAAAAATTGTCTAAAATATTGCTCAGCTTATTGTTTGATACATGAAACAAAATTAACATGGAAATGAAGAGGATACAATCTACCATATTAATTATTAATTTGAGATAGGGACGCCACCTATGAGTGCATTTTAACCTAAATATGAGTGTATGATTGAGTGAGATGCCTTTTGTAGCTTTGTTACTGGTCTGTTTCGAATTTTAAACACACTTTAAGGCAATTTCTTGACCAAACAAGAGGTTATGCTCGAAACGCACAGGTCGGCTGTCGGGCAAAGACTGAGTGCGTGGCACAACTTGGCAACAGTGGACAGTTTTCTGAAAGCTTATTGGATACCGCTTGCCCTCACCCCACCCGACTCGAACTGGTTCCGGTCCTATTCTGTAATCTATTCCACTATAGTGGCTAAACAGACTAGGGCTAACCTGGCAAAAGAATGGCGTTATCTCAAATCACTCATTTACTATATTTACATAGTCTTTACTTTTTCCTCCTTTACACATGGAGAAAGTATTGTTTTTGTAAACATTTTCGAGTTTGAGTTTTAGGTGAAAGTGAAAATATACTATAACAATTTTTGAAATATTTAACCGTCCCGGGACTTTTGTTTGAATGAGTTTGAACGGAGGGTGTTTTTGGCCTCTGAAGTCCTCAAAACGAAAAAGAAATTGTTCCGGTTCTAGGTCTTAATATGAGACCTACAGTAAGAGCTTAAATTCCCTATATGGGAAATTTGCTAAGAGAATTGGCTCAGCAGCCATCCTCCTTCAGCTGGTTATTCTTGATCTTGAAAACTGATTAAAACGTTGAAAAGTAGGCAATATCTTACATCAAGATCGTGGTTTGAGAATCTGTGTGCAGTTGCTTCTGTCAAATTTGATTTTAAAGGGATGGGTACTTGACCTTGCATATTAGTATAGAAGATTTTGGTAATAACAATTTTAAATAATGTATAGTATTTTGTGAAGTTTAGCTGTTTCTTATTACTAATTTAGGTAGTAGGTAACAATAGACCCGACACTATTGACGTTAAAAAAATGTGAACTGTATGATGAATAAAGACTTTTTGAATCTTGATACGGTGGAATTGCTGTATACGTTCCACACACAGTTCCGTATCATATGTGAATGGGCAAAATGCAAGGTTAATAAAAGAGGTTGAAATGGCAACAAATGATAATTCAACAACTGGAGAATACATTAAATGATCGAGATTCTATGAGTAACCTTAGTAATTGGTTTGTCTTTTATAAGAAAAATCATTGACCTAGTGACAGTGAACTGCTCTTTGTAAAATCTGAAACTTTTTTTTATATTTCATGTTGGTAAAGTTTAGAGTGGGCTGAAGAGACTATATTTCTTTCTTATTTTAGAGTACATTTTTAATTTTTGTTTTGTTTTAGTAGGTAATACAGTATGCCGAATACGAGGGGACAATCAATTGTTTATTAATACCTTTTATATGGTTGAAATTGTTTCAACATTAGTTAAATAAGATTATATAAATTGTTACTAAACATCTTCTATGGAACTAACCTTAACCCTTTACGACCGGAATGAATTTCTGCCGCTGTTCCTCAGAGGTCGTGCGGCCAGCTCTACTGGCTGCCGCCATTAGCGTGCGGAAGTCAGTACCCACAGCAGTTGTCCTTTGCAATCTGGCCAACATGAAATCAAACATACGCTGGGGTGTCCAGCAGGACTGGCCGACAACGTTTTTGTTTGTATTATTCCAAAATGACTGCTATGATGCCTGTAGAGTGCTGCAACCTAGTGAGGAATTGTTAAACTAAACGATCAGAGGGCGTGCAACATTATATCTTACAAATGTTGGTGGAAAAAACTAAAATAAACACCGGGTTTGGTGATTTTCTCGAAAGATTTGTTTTTATTTGTAATTTTAATTAAGTTTTAGTTTACATTTGAGGTGACTACAAGAACAATTGTAATTTTACGTATAGGCATACACTTTTTTTCATAATTATGCCTACAATAAAACTTTTTTATGTCGTAAAAGTAATATGAATGGGGTTATGTTTGTTTTCATTCCCGTATATTACACTGAGTAATAATGGACGATCCTTTAAGATCAGACGAATAATTGAGAGACTTATTATTTGCTGATGAAGAAGATGTTGACAATTCCCATATTTATTATGGATCAGACCACGAAAGCGATGTTAAGTGTTTTTGTAAAACTTGTTTAAACAATCCAGGACTTCATATGGGCGAATGTTTAAATAAGACCACTAAGAGAAAAAAATAAAAGATTAAAAGAGAGCTTTCAAGTTGTTGTTTGTATGAGTGACAAATATACGTACATTTTACACGTTTATTAAATACGTAGATAATATTACTTTTCATTTTCAAACAAATTTATGTTTATATACAATATCTTATTTGTTTTTAAAATTAAATAAAATGAAACTTTTGTCAGTATAAAATTACAAAAACTTAAATCCCCTGTGCTAACATTGCAGCCTATAAGTGAAAACAATTCCGAGCTGCCAGGAACGAGCCGCCATGATAAATGGTGAGGGAGGAAGGCCTTGGACTTGGCCAGTACAACTGGCCATCCGACTGTCGGAACCGAGTTAGTACGGATAGAATTACGACTCGCTGCCGACTGTGTTGAGGTCACTCCTGCTGGCCTTCCGATTTAAAAACTGTCTTCAGTTGATCTAAAGAGATTTATTATGGAAAAACTGAACTGGAAATGGTATTTTGCTATTTAATGGAGGGTCATACAGTAATTATAGTTTGACATTGATTAGTAATCACCTCACTGCAATTATTTTACACAAATGGCTTAGTTAAGATTTTTATAAATCCACCATATGCACACAAAAAAGTAAGATTAACATCACAAGTATAATTTAAACTATTACTAGCTAGGGTAAAGATTGAAAACCGAGCTTTTAGAAAAAAATTTATTAGATCCAAGTGAAAATATCATTGTGTACTTTTAGGTTAACTAATTTATTTACACAAAACAACTCAAATAAAAAAGGAAATAACGTAATTTTTAAATATAACATGGATCTAATTAATACCTTAGTAAAATATGGATAGTAAATTTACAAGAAAATATATTATGCCCAGTTTCAAACAACATTCAAAGGCAGAACGATTGCCAACAAAACATATCTTTAAACAAAATAAAATGTGAAATAAAAGTCAAAAGGGTTGATACAAAAAAAATGTTGTATTAACCCTGCATCAAATAATTTCAAATACCTGGATTTTCACATGAAAATCTTGGACTCAAAAGATTTTCTTTATAAGAAATTGGCAAAAAGTTTATTGTGAGGAAAATTTAGTGTACCTTAGCTTATTATGTCTTTATAAATATATATAACAAATATTAATTATCACAGGTTTAACTGGACTAATTATTTAGTAGCTTCCTCTCATCTTCCATTGCATCTCTTCCAGTAAACAGCATCGGTAGATTAGGCAGCACATCATGAAACATTCCTGAAAAATGTAAATCAATTAAATAAAATTTTGAACATTTTATTGGGATTTTTTTATTGGTAATACTGCTTCACTTGTATTGAATGGCAATAAATTAAGTGATTTCATGCATAGGGACATTGCCATACCAACAATCTTCAAATAGCCTTTCTTGATATTGATACCGTATTGTAACTGCAGTAGCCTATCAAGACCACTGGAATATATCACAACAAAATTATCAATACCATGTCAAAAGTACAATATTTAATCATTTTTTTTTAGTTCTAAGCCAAAAATAACTACATTTTATAAAATACAAATATTACGCATTCCATAACATTTCATGACATATAGTCTAGATATTGACTTGGATTGTTTATAAACTTGAATTTTACTTTACCTGATGGTTTTCTTTTTCTAAAATTGTCATCAACATATAGCTTTCAATAACTTTTATGAGGTAATGATTTTGTTTAACCCAACGAGTGGCGAATCAACAAAACATGTCGGATTTCAAATCGTGTTGCTGAAGTGGCAACTGACAAATTTTGTCGATTAAGGTAACATTTTATCCCGTTGCATTTTTAGTCAATCTTTACTTGAGGATAGTGTGACGAAATGCATACGGTATATATATTATGTAAAAAAGTCCTAAAACGTTTTATACAGGGTGAGTCTTCTAAGCTGTCCTAAACAGATTACAGACGAATGGCTTGACATACAGAGATGAAACAAAACTTTTCCCCACTAATTCATACCCAAGGAACAACGTAAAATGTTTTTACCATTTTTTAAATACAGGGTGTTAAGAAACTGGGGGTCATGGGTTCGAATCTCAGAGTTTTCAAATGTAAACATATGTAGTGTTATGCATCATTTTAAAGCTCTAGACAAACAACTTAGTGAAAGCAGAACTCATTTATCTTTGTCCGTTTCAAAATGGCGGCCGTTTTTATGGAAAATATTAATATTTACAGATTACCCTGTATCTTGGAAACCACTAAACTTATTTTCGTTCTGTTTGAAGATTCTTAATCCTCGTCGTTTCAGCTTTAATGTGATGTACGACAAGTCAACATTTTAAAAAATGAATATTTTTCAATGATTTTATTTTGTTTTAATGTTGGTAGCCTTGTAAATGAAAAATGTTAAATAGCAACATGTGTAAAATTCTGCATCACTTTCAAGGTCTTGCAAAAACGAACAACTTTTAAATTTAAACCTACCATCTATCTTTGGTAGTTTTCCAATTGCTCATATAAAACCCATGTTAAACGTACAGTACTGGAGATTAGTGAATGCAGATACACTATTCCCGTGGTATTGCGCGTTTAACATGGGTTTTATATGGGCAATTGGAGTTTTTGGTTAATTACTATAAGGCCCGGTTTCCCCAACTCATTTAAACTTAGTTTTAAGTTAAACGGCGATTTAAACTTAGTTTAAATTTGATTTGTGTTTCCCCAAATTTAAACTAGGTATTAATCTAAGTTCAAACTAAACCACCTCTCGACTTGGTTTAACTACTGGGGATAAAATAAACTGAGTTCAAATTAGTAAATTACAACAGTAACATAACCTCAAATCAAAACAAAAAGTAGGTGTTAAAACAATAATAATTGAAGCAACTACAAATTCATTTGGACGAAAATAGGCTTGGTTTAGGGATAGCTTTAAGTTAAGTTTTATTTATATTTTAATTTATTGTTTTTATTAAGTTATTTTTTTAGTACATTTGATTTTATTTCAAGTTAGGCTACTATTAATTAATTGCAGTAACTTATTTACCCCCTCAAACGGAAGAGTTAATAGACATTTCCGAAGAAGTAGAAGATGAAGATTATGATACTTTAGTACCTAGAACAAGAGGGCCTACTAAAATAAGGGACAGAATTGACCATTTCAATAAATGAAATGAATCTGAATTTGACAACAACTTATAATAAATTAATAAAATGATAACATAACCTTAAACAGTGATGTTATTCTATAGCTGCATTCGCACTTTGCTGTCTGCTCTACTGAGTTGTAGCGTAGCGTTGTGGTAGTTGTAGGAAACACTAGCCCAAAGGCCACCGAAGATTCCTTACAAATACACATTCAGGATTGCCAACCACTCGAATAGCCGTTTATCTTAAACGAAGCCAGTAAAATGTTGGAGAAACCGAACACACATTTTAAACGGAGTTTAAAAATAAACTAGTTTATTATAAACGTAGTTTACACCATTTTGGGGAAACCGGGCCTAAAACGACCAAAGATAGACGGTAGGTTTAAATTTAAAAGTTGTTTGTTTTTACAAGACCTTCAAAATGATACACAATTTTACTATGTTGCCATTTACAAATTTTCATTTACAAGGCTACCAACTTAGAAAAAAAATAAAATCATTGAAAAAATATTTAGTTTTTAAATTATTGACTTGTCGTATATCAAATTAAAGCTTAAACCATGAGGATTAAGAATTTTCTAACAGAACGAAAATAATTTTAGTGGTTTCCAAGATACAGGGTATTCTGTAAATATCAATATTTTCCATGCAAATGGCTGCCATTTTGAAACGGACAAAGGTAAAGAAGTTCTGTTTTCACTAAATTGTTCGTCTAGTCTAGAATTTTAAAATGATGCATAACATGGCATATGTTTACATTTGAAAACTCTGAGATTCGAACCCATGACCCCCAGTTTCTTAAACACCCTGTATTTTAAAAATGGTAAAAATATTTTTATGTTGTACCTTGGGTATGAATTAGTGGGGAAAAGTTTTGTTTCATCTCTGTATGTCAAGCCGTTCGTCTGTAATCTGTTTAGGACAGCTTAGAAGACTCACCCTGTATATACCCTTATTGTCGAAGAAACTTAAAATTCAATGTTGACAGGTTGGTCACACAAATAAAAGCTTTGGATTTTTCAAAGCTGAAATAAAAGAACACTTCATCGTCTAACCTCCAATGGCGGTGTCGTCATGAAATTTAGTCTGATAACAAGACGAAGTGTGAGTTTTATTGGTAATTTTACAGTTTAATGTGTGTTTAATGTTGTGTTGTGTATTAGGTGTAATATTTGTACATTATTTTGCATAAATATTTACACGCATGTGATCCAAAGATCAAGACTAGAATTTTATTGATATAAAGTCAGAGGAGTTTTGTGTTACAGTACCCCCCCCCCCCCTCCCACCAACCAACCAACTATGTTGATTACACTACTATGTTGCTACATTGTGTTGTGCTATGTTGACTGATGTTGACTACTATGTGTCCTACTATGTAGGGACTATGTTGAGGTATCCCTCTTATCCGGTACATTTTAACCGGACATCGGTTTAACCGGACTACACTCAGGGGGAATGACATCTCTTTAACCGGACAATTTTTATCAGCACATTAGTTTATGGTGTTAGCCTCCGAATCACTTTAGTTAATAAAAATGGTTTAAATACCTTTAACTGTCAGGTGATCCTTTGAGTAGTATATTACACTACTGCAGTTTCAGCCCTCAGGGGGCTTTCTTCAGGTGTCGAAGGAGGTCAAAATTTTTCATTCATACGAATTCGTCACATTAAAACTACGAGAACACAAATACGACTACGGACACGAACACGAACACGAACATAAAAAACGAATACACACGTAAGAGTCACAAACATTTCCCATGGGTTAATTGATGCGCGACGCGTGCGAGGAGCTAGCCTAGACTAGCGTTATCATTGTTGCAGTCCTTTGTCCACCCCCTCCCTTATCTTTTGTTGCTGATAGTGGAACCGACCGTTCTGCCAACTTCAATGCTGATTCATATATAATGTTCGATTTGAACCCTCTTTGTTCATTTAGTACATTCTGGGGTTCTTTTTTGACGGCCTTATATATTTCAAACTCTTCCATAGTATCCATGAATCGGCCTTTATTGCATTTATGGAGAATTTCGAGATTGTCGTGAATGGCGGAGTAACTGTGGTTATTATCAACTAAATGGTTGGCGTAGGAAGATGTTACTATCGTTACGTAGATGACACATTTTTAATATTCAATGGCAATAAAAGACAGTTAAAGTTATTATGCAACCATTTTAACAGCTTTCACACGCAATTAAAATTTACATTAGAAGAAGAGCAGAACAATGCCATCAACTTCCTAGACCTCACAATTACAAGATCCGACACCAACCTTCAGTTTAAAATATATAGAAAGCCCACCACGACCAGCCAAACAATCCATAGCTCCTCACACCACCCTATGAATCACAAATTAGCCGCATATAACAGCTTTGTACACAGGCTCCTAACAGTACCTCTCAGCCATGAAGATTATATGGAAGAACTCAATACCATCAAATTTATCGCCATGTCAAACGGTTATAAGATCGAGATGGTCGATCGGCTGATTTATAAACAGTTACATAGGGAAAACAGAACCCATAAGCCAGAACAGCAGTATGTTGCCATCGAGTATGGTAATGTATTGAATAACACAGTACAGCGTGAGCTCTCAAAGAATAATATCGCTGTTTCCTTCAAAACATCAGACAGACTAGCTAACATATTAAAGGACCGTAAGAAGCCCTCCAATAACACAAATATCATGCAAAAAACAGGAGTTTATAAATTAAATTGTAGCAGCTGCCCCAGCTTTTATATTGGTCAAACTGCCAGGTCTTTTAACATCAGATTCAAAGAACATTTACCAGGCAAACATAATACTAAATCAACATCTTCCTACGCCAACCATTTAGTTGATAATAACCACAGTTACTCCGCCATTCACGACAATCTCGAAATTCTCCATAAATGCAATAAAGGCCGATTCATGGATACTATGGAAGAGTTTGAAATATATAAGGCCGTCAAAAAAGAACCCCAGAATGTACTAAATGAACAAAGAGGGTTCAAATCGAACATTATATATGAATCAGCATTGAAGTTGGCAGAACGGTCGGTTCCACTATCAGCAACAAAAGATAAGGGAGGGGGTGGACAAAGGACTGCAACAATGATAACGCTAGTCTAGGCTAGCTCCTCG